GTTTTTCCCATTTTATATTCTCATCACTAAATTTAAGAATGGCTGCCCTTCAGATAAATGAAGAAAACTCTTTGGTTACTCTGTTTTATTGTTCCTGAGATGAATATTCCAACTTTGTGTCAGTCATTCCTCAAATTACATGATTTGAAAACTCTGCTCTCAAAGGTGTTGCTGTTTTGAGTTTTAGTAGTTTTCTTTTTTTTTTATTGCTCTAATATTTTATGTACAGGGCTGAATAAGCACTCACTAACAGACAGACTTAAGTTATATAGAGCATCTCGTTTCTGATTTATTTTTCTAATAATGATTTATTTTTTGGGTACTTCCTATGATAGTCACCTTGGGAAGTCCTTTACATTATTTTAGATCCTTGAAACAACCCTATGAAACTGGTATTTTTATTGCGTTTTTAAACAGACAAACTGAGACTCACAGTTTAAATTATTTGTTCTATGTCTTACCACTACTAAGTAGTCAGACAATAGGCAGTTTCCTTAGTGTATGTGTGTAAGGCAAAAAATGTCAGAATATACCTTCAAGTTGAAAGCATTAAAGTCTTCCTCTGAATCAGAACCTTTGCTAAAAATATCAGGGTTCTGAATGCTAGTGTCTAATATTGATTAACTTGTTTTTCTATCTTGGTTGTCTTCCTACTAATTGCTTTGGTTGATGATGCTTATATATGTTTTTTAGTATATATATATTTTGCCTACATGAGTTTCTGACCTGCTTGTTTTGACCTATATATTGTCAATACAGTAGAAAGTCTTTGTAAACCATTGAACTTTATATTAAAGGTAAAGTATAACAATATAATATGTTGAATTTGAAAAATCATTGTCTATTCCTAACCTTAAAAGAAGAATACATATACATGCATTTCTATCAGTCTTCCTGAAAAGTGGCTCAACAGCAAGTGCAGCAGCATTTTCACCTACTACCTATACTCACATGCATGCTCTTAGTATCCAGATTTTGGTCTCTAATGATATTGTACACTAAACAAAGCCAAGTTATTGATGATTTCACATCTTAGGTAGAACAGCCATGATAAGGTTGTATCTTCTGATACTGGATTTCACAGAGGTTCTGAAATGATAAAGTAACTGACTTACTGTCTGACCAATTTAGCAATAATATATGCTTTTAAAGTAGAATAATAATTACGGCTAATTGGAATGAAGAACTATGAGTTAATTGTTGTTCTAAGAGGGAAAATTAATGTTTGTGTACAAAAAGTCCAAAAAGAAAAATGGTTTATGATTAGATAGCAGTGTAGATCTCAAAAAAATACAGAAAAGAGATTCAAAATAAGCTTTAATACAACTAACAAATCAAATTGTTTTATCAGACTGACAGGATGGTGGGTGACTAATTCTGGATCACCCAAGTTTAAAGATTGTATCATTTTAGAGGGTGGCATCTATTATAAAACATTAAAATTTATATGGTAGATTTGAACTTAAATTTCAATTAATATAACAAGTGAAATATAACCAAAAAGAAAAAAGAAAAAAAGAAATATCGGCCTGAAAACCTGCAGCTGGAATTGATGGACCTTGAAAGTGTCAACCTGGGTCTGCACCCCTAGAAGGAATCGGTTGATAATCTATAGTTACCAAGCTCATTTTATCTCATTCTCTTTTTTGGTTTTGGGAAATTATATTAATTCCAACCAATGCATCAAAATCAATATCACCACAGCTATAGGAAGGTATAAAAATAAGTACAGAAATAATAAAGAACTGTGTAAAACCTGTGGTGATGATAATAACATTTTAGAACATGTGGTTTTCACAAAGTGAAAGTCCAATTAGGATAAGGACTATGTCACTGTGATCTTTCAAATTCTAAATCTGATAGGATACTTGTAATAGAATAAATAATAAATATTAAAGGACAACGTAAGTTAGACTTTTATTTTAGCAGGATATATCAGACAACATTGCTTAAGTTATGAAAAGTAGTAATGTTAATTATTATGAAAACTAAAAAATTATTAAGAAAACATCCCTGTCTCCTAGTTTTCTGAGGAGAATTTATTCTTGAATCTCATATATTAAGAAGTGAGTTAGCTTTAATGGACTCCTCTTTGAAATTACGCAAAGCTATTTTTATACAGATATTTTTGAGTTATAATATTTGCAAAATATGTCTTAAATTTCATTTGCTTTATTTTATATTTCACTCCATTTATAAATAATAGTTACATATGTTTTCTTAATTATTTGTAGTATGCTTCAGAATTAATCGTCAGATTTTAGAATATGTCTTCTAACGACAAAACTGGATTTTTTAAATGTTCTTGTAGATCTCAACAATACTATCTGATACACTACTTTATTAGGTGTTGTGATATTAATGTCTCTATAGATTTAGGTAAACTACTTCTCTTTACATCCTATTCCTATAATTCAGTTAAACAGTGCAGGGACCTCACAGTGTGGGATCTTTATATTAGTGATTTAATTTCTTGTTTTGCTTAATATGTTAAGCAAAACAAGATATAATTGTTTCTTACAAAAATAATTAACTGATTTTTAAATGTATATTTTTAGTTACTTTGTCTTTTTTTTATAAGGGTATAATGGTTTTGAGCACAGATTTTTTACAAGGTGGTATTCAAGTTTAAATTTAAGTACCTCATATGAAACCCTTTTCTCAACATTAGAGAATCTCAGAGGGGATACTGTTAAATATCATGTTATTCAAATATTCTTTTCACAGATAAAGAAACTAAGAGTAAAAAAAAAATTATTATAGCTTGTCCAACGTAAAGATACAAAGATTCTCTGATCCCCAGATACCTGCAGTAGCAGTTAGATGTAACAGTAGGGTTAACAGTTTACCATTTTAAGAAATGAACAACAGTATTACTCTTTTGTCAAAAGTTGAGCCTACTGATCAAAGATGATTTATGTATGATGAGGCTGGGGATTAAGTATTTTGAGAGGAAGTAGCTCTTATTTAAGCCTAAATTCCTCTCTATGACCCATGAATTAGGAAATAATTCCATTTGTAAAATACAATTTAAATATAAATGCCAGGCTCAGGTCTATGTCTGTAAATAGCATACTTATTTATTACCTCTATGCACTGTTGTTTCCATGCCCTCTCTTATATGATAGTCACTAGTCCCATGTAGCTATTAAATACTTAAAATGAGGCTAGTTTTTATTTTAAGCCAGTGCCTTTTTTATATACATTGCTAATATAATTAAGTACATTTTCTATCTTTTTCTTCTTTTTTCAAAAAAATCTGGGGAGGAAGGTAAGAAAAATGTGACTTTTGGATGTCATCGTCTTTTTCTATTTCAAAGGGATCACCTGTGTCTCTTTTTTTATAATTTACATTCTTCATCCCCAATTTTTGCAATATAACTATTTCAACTAACTGTTTTAGTTTTTATTCCTTAATACAGGTTGAACTATTTTGGGGGACTTGAACTATTTTTAAAGATTCAGTCAAAACTTAGCATATTAAGCAAAACAAGAAATTAAATCACTAATATAAAATACCTTTACTAATAACTAAATGAAAACAAATGGGAAAAAAAAGAATACTGTACTCACCAAGATTTTGGGTTAGTGGAAAAATTGTAAATATTTTAGAAAAATTGAAATATTTGTTATTTCCTTTATTTTGTTAACTTTTGTCAGTTTATTGTTGTTTGAAAGAAGTTTTTAAAACTCTTTAGTAAATGATAATGAGCCACATCTACACTAATAAAAGACAAAGATGCTAATTGACCATACCTTTGATACTCCCAAACCACACCCACCAGCCAATCAGAGCGACTATATGCAAATTAACCCAACCAAGATGGCGGCCAGCAGCCACGTAGCTGGAGCAAGCTGGAGGCTTGGTTGCCCTGGCGATGGAGGAAGCCAAGCTTTCCGCCTGCCCGGACCGGCTGTGGCCTTTGCAAAAGGCAACAAAGTTTCAATTATGGAAGCTAAATAAATCCCAGATCCCTGCTTCCAGGGGCAGACGCTCAATGCAGAGCGTCTGGTGGTCAGTATGCTCCCACAGGGGGAGCTCTGCTCAGCCACAAGCCAGGCTGATGGCTGTCAGTACAGCAGTGGTGGTGGGAGCCTCTCCCGCCTCCTCAGCAGCACTAAGGATGGCCAACTGCAGCTTAGGCCTGCTCCCCCCTGGCAAGTGGACATCCCCTGAGGGCTCCCGTGTTGCCAGAGGGATGTCTGACATCCAGCTTAGGCCCAATCCCCCGGGAGCGGGCCTAAGCCAGCAGGTGATCATTCCCCAAGGGGTCCCAGACTGCGAGAGGGCACAGGTCGGGCTGAGTGCACAAATTTTTGTGCACCAGGCCTCTAGTATTTTATAAAAAAAGAAATTTCCCTTATAGCCCTTCCGGTGTGGCTCTGGTTGAGCATTGACCTATGAATCAGGAGTCATGGTTGGATTCCTGGACAGGGCACATGACCAGTGGGGGCTCTGCAGGATACAGCTGATCAATCATTCTCTCTTATCATTGATGTTTCTCTCTTTTTCCCTCCCTTCCTCTCTGAAATACATAAAAATATTTTTAAAAAGAATTTTCCCTTACGGCATTTCATTTTGAGTTGGGACCCAGGCTTCAGACTTGATTTTATTTACAAATTTTCTAAGTTTTCAAAATTAATGTTGACATTAAAAGTCAAATGTTTACAATTTGCAGCAGCATAATATATTAAGGATGTACGCTGAAAATGTATTTCAAACAGAATAAATTCTTGCATTTCCTAATTAAGTTCTTTTTCTGTAGATACCGGTCTTGGTTTTGTCTTTATAATTAAGAAAACAAAAACAAACAAAAAAGAAATTGAAGAATCCATAGTTTAGAAGTATGTAGAATACACTAGAAGTCCATTTAGAAGAGATATTTCTTTTAATTTGAACAGAACTTACATTCTTTTAAAGTTTTATGTAAGCAAGTATATAATTTGCAATTATGTTTTAAATTATTTTCTAAATGAAATTAAAATTCTTTGTCTTTCAGATATTGACAGAGCAAGTATGTACTCAAGTTGTACACAAACCACATCCAGAGCCAGACTCTACAGTGAAAATTCAGAATCCAAGTAAGCAAACAGCAATTTTTTTTATTTTATTTTAATGCAATAGTAACATGGTAATATATCAGACTAAATCTCCTTTTTTCCAACCATCTAAATTCATTATGGTGCTTACATAGTTCATAACACTTGAAAATCACCTACCATGGTGCTAAGCCTTTAGTTGAAAAATCAGTAAATATTTTTTGAGTGGAAGATATGGTGCAGTTATAAATCTATACCATGCCTTTTTGTTATTGTTGTTCTTTTACAGTGATTCTTAAGGTAGTGGCAACTTTGTTAAAAAACTCTACACCAAGTGCAGAACTGATGGAAGTTCGTCGTTTATTTTTATCTGACATGATAAAACTTTTCAGCAACAGCCGTGAAAATAGAAGGTATGCAATTTGAATACTATTACAAAACAAAACTATATTCCATAATTAACCTCAGTTCCTTTTCTTTATTTTCAATCTCTTTCAGAGAAAAAAATTTCTAATCTTTTCCACTTTGCTAAATACTTTTATTTTTATCCTCACCTGATGATATATTTTTCCCATTAATTTGGAAAGACGGGGGGGGGGGCGGGGAGAGAGAAAGAGAGAGAGAGAGAGAGAGATCTAGGATTGGTGGCTGGTTGCTTCCCTTATGAGCCCCGACTGGGGCTGAGTATGGAACCTGCAATCAAGATACATGCCCTTGACCCGTAATCAAACCTGTGGCCCTTTGGTCTGTGGGCCAATGCTCTAACCATTAAGCAAACCAGCCAGGGCGTTGAATACTTTTAATCATCAGAAGACACTGCATGTTTCTTTAATATAATCTGCAGTTAGCATACTTCCACTTATATCAATGTTTTTACTTATATGGGTGTTATATTTTAATTGAGTATATGGATATATACCCACAAACCATTATTTAAAATGCACTGTTCCTTTGGTGCATTCTATTATCTATCACCAATAATAGTTTTAATTATAATTGTGTTGGAATAGCTCATATTCAACCATGCTTTTTCTGAATTTGTCTGATAACTGATTGATATCATGTATTTTTGAGCTGGTTACCTAGGACAGTGATGGTGAACCTTTTGAGCTTGGTGTCAGCATTTTGAAAAACCCTAACTTAACTCTGGTGCCGTGTCACATATAGAAATTTTTTTTATATTTGCAACCATAGTAAAACAAAGACTTATATTTTTTATATTTATTTTATATATTTAAATGCCATTTAACAAAGAAAAGTCAACCAAAAAAATGAGTTCGCGTGTCACTTCTAACACGTGTATTAGAGGTTCGCCATCACTGATTAGGACATGGAGCCACGGTTGCTGCCTGAGTCATTAATTTAACAAATATTGATTGTCTGGTGTGTATAAAGCACCTTGCTGCATAGGTTGTCTCAGTATACAGTCTTAGTACAGTTTAGTGGGAAAGAACAATAAAGCAGTGGTTATTTTACAAGATATTAAGTGCATCGTGAGTGCTGCAGTTTATGAGGGAGTAGAGAAATAATAACTTAATCTGACTGGGAAAGTTTGAAAAGCAGTTTTAATGATAATTTGGATTTTTGCAGATATAAAAATGGGGGAATGCCATTCCAAGTGTAGAATATAGAATATGCAGAATGTTTGTACCTTCGTTGACCTAGGTTCAGTTTTCACTATTTATCTAAATTTCAAAATAGTAAATTCTAATATAATTTAGATGTTTTTAATTAATATATTTTTCCCACTAGATGTTTATTGCAGTGTTCAGTATGGCAGGATTGGATGTTTTCTCTTGGCTATATCAATCCTAAAAATTCTGAAGAACAGAAGATTACTGAGATGGTCTATAATATCTTCCGGATTTTGTTGTATCATGCAATAAAATATGAATGGGGAGGCTGGAGAGTCTGGGTGGATACACTCTCAATAGCCCATTCCAAGGTAACAGAGATTTAGCATTTTATATCATCTAATTTTTATCTGTGGGTTAATTAAATGGCTATATATGCTCATCTGGTGCCATCTTCTGGGCATTTTCCATCAAGGCCGAGTCCTCCTTCCCAGTTTTCTCTTTTCTGCTTTGTTTTTTTCCCCCCTTCTGTTTATACACTAATAGATCTTGAAGTTTTATATATCATTTGATGGAAATCTCAGGTTTATAAATTAGGAATTTTAGACCCCAAAGGTGACCCCACATATATAACAGATCTGAGAACTTCAGTCTGAACCAGCCATGGGCCAACTATAGCCCGCGGGATCCGGCCCGTTTGAAATGAATAAAACTAAAAAAAAAACAAAAAACGACCGTACCCTTTTATATAATGATGTTTACTTTGAATCTATATTAGTTCACCCAAACACTCCATCCATGCTTTTGTTCCGGCCCTCTGGTCCAGTTTAAGAACCCATTGTGGCCCTCGAGTCAAAAAGTTTGCCCACCCCTGGCTCTGAACCAATTGCCCTTTTAAAAAATAAAATATACCTAAGAATATTTTATGGACTTTACTTTTTAATATTTTAAAAAAGCAGCCAGAAATTATTTTTATTTACAAGTGAATTATAAATATATTTAAAGTGTTTAATTTTAGTGGTATTTTTAATTGCATTATCATTTCTTTATTTTTAATCCTTGAAATCTAAATATTTATATTTAAAATAGTATCCAATCTTTAGTAGAAGGAAGACAGTTTTCCAACTCCATTTTTGGGACTTGATTTCATCTTCCATAAAATGAAGGGGTTTTTGTATCAAGATAATCTCCAAAGGGAGGTCCATTACAAACTAAAATTTTCTTATCCTATGACTTAATTAGAAATTAATATCATATGTGCCTCTAAGGAAAAATTTTGAACTTATTTTCAAATTTAGAAGAGCTTTTATTGCTGTTAATACCTTAAACTTTATAATGTATTGATACCTTACTTTTATTATTACACTAACAAATTTGAAAATAGTATTTTGTAGGAAAAGATATTGCATTTTTTTATTATGACATTATTACAGATGCCCCCCTATTTCCTCCCCTTTGCCCTCCTCCACCAGACATTGCATTTTATGTACTATATATAAAAGAATTCTATCTAAAATATCAAATTAAAGTAGCCTATGTAAAAATAAAATTGTGATTTTTTAACAGTTTATAATTGTATGTATTTATAGATTTGTGTGGGTTTTTTAAAACAGTTGTTGAAATAGGCACACATATGAGTAATGGGTGGTGAAATCTGATCTAGTAATAGTATTGAGACTGTATATTAGTCACTTCTTCAATTTAGCTCAAATACCTCAAATATGTAGGAGTTCAACTGGCGTATTAGGTAAGGGTCACATTGAAACTCTTAACCTAAAAGAAAAAATCACTATTTAAAACATTAATATTGTTAATTTACCTAACTTAGTATTAATACATGCTGTGTTTGATAAATTAAAATTCTTGGCACCATTTTCCTATTATTAACATAACTAGGGGCCCAGTGTACAAATTCATGCACATTGAAAGGATCTGTGGGCTGCAAGGCTGCAGTGGCACAGGGACAGGTCTTGGCTCATCCTCCCAGGCCCCTCCCGCTGTGTGCCACCCCCTCCCCCATTCCCCTGTCTGCAGGCAGACCCCTCCCACTGCTGCGGCTCCCACACACTGAAGGGCACCGGCCCCACTCGCACCTGCTGACGGTGCGGAGTAATTGGTGCGGTTGCCAGGAGCAGGTGAAAGCAGTGGTTTTGGTGCCGACTGCAGGTGCAAGCAGGGCTGGCACCAGCAGTGGATATGAGCAGCAGCTCCACCACCTGCAGCAAGTGCAAGCGGGGCCGTTGCCAGCTGTGGGTGTGAGAGGCAGTTGACAGCCACGATCCTCAGCAGCAGGGGGTGGTGGAGAAGCCCTGAGGGGCGATTGGGGCTGGCAGTCACCACTCCCAGCCTCTGACAGCACTGAGCGATTGGGGCAAACACTGGGTGCCAGTAGCAGGTGTGAGTGGGGCCGTTGCCGGTAGCAGGTGCAAGCGCCTGTGCAGGACCATGGCACGTGAGAGCAAAGAATTTTCAGTAACCACCAGAGGCTCACCTTGATGACAGTGACTGGCCCCACCTTGGTCTGACACCCCCACTCACCTGCTCCACCATCTCATGCCTGCCATATTCCCTGCGTGCCCCCTGGTGGTCAGCGCACGTCATAGTGACCAGTTGTTTGGTTGTTGGATTATTCCACTGTTCAGTATATTTGCATATTAGGGTTTTATATATATAGATTTTATTTGTATCTTTTATTTCTTCTTGGTATATTTAAAACTAGAGGCCCAGTGCACAAAAATTTGTGCACTCGGGGGGAAGGAGGGGCCCTCAGCCTGGCCTGTGCCCTCTCGCAGTCTGGGACCCCTCGGGAGATAATGACCTGCTGGCTTAGGCCTGCTCCCGGGTGGCAGAGGGCAGGCCCAATCCCTAGGTGCAGGCCCTGGTCGGGCTCAGAGCAGGGCTGATTGGGGATTTGGGGTGCCGCCCCCTGTCATGCACAGAGCAGGGTGGATCGGGAAGTTGCGATGCCACCCTCAGTCACGCTCAGGGTAGGGCCTATTGGGGGGTTGGGGCACCGCCCCCGTCACACTCAAGGCAGGGTCCATGGGGAGGTTGCGGCGCCACACCCTATCACGCACACAGCAGGGCCAATCAGTGGGTTGGGGCTCTGTACCCTGTCACGCACAGAGCAGGGCCCATCAGTGGGGTGGGGAGCTCCCCCCTGTCATGCACAGAGGAGGGCCCATCATACCTGGTTTGTTTAGGTTCTATAATCGAGACACTGTATCAACTCCAGCTCTGAGATCCCAGCCGGCTGAAAGCTGGTTTCTGGGATTTTGTTTAACTTCTATATTTTTTACAATGTTTCTTAAACTGCAAGCTCAGAGGCCATCAGTGGCCGGCGGGGAACGTTGCAATCCTCCATCACTGAAGCAAGCAAGCCTCATGTTAGCTTCCAGCTGCCTGGCTGCCGGCCGCCATCTTGGCTGGCAGTTAATTTGCATATCGTCCTTATTAGCCAATGGGAAGGGTAGCGGTCGTACGCTAATTACCATGTTTCTCTTTTATTAGATAGGATGCTTTAATGTTTTTTCCTTTGTTTCTAAGGTCACTTATGAAGCACATAAGGAATACCTAGCCAAAATGTATGAAGAATATCAGAGACAAGAAGAGGAGAACATTAAAAAGGGAAAGAAAGGGAATGTGAGCACCATCTCTGGTCTTTCATCACAGACGACAGGAGCAAAAGGAGGAATGGAAATTAGAGAGATAGAAGATCTTTCACAAAGCCAGAGCCCAGAAAGTGAGACAGATTACCCCGTCAGCACAGACCCTGGAGACTTGCTCATGTCAACAAAAGTGTCAGATGATATTCTTGTGAATTCAGATAGATCGAGAAGTGGTGTACATGTGGAAGTGCATGATCTTTTAGTTGATATAAAAGCAGAGAAAGTGGAAGCAACAGAAGTAAAGCTGGATGATATGGATTTATCACCAGAGACCCTCGTAGGTGGAGAGAATGGTGCCCTTGTGGAGGTTGAATCTTTGTTGGATAATGTATATTGTGCTGCTGTTGAGAAACTCCAGAACAATGTACATGGAAGTGTTGGTATCATTAAAAAAAATGAAGAAAAAGATAATGGCCCATTGATAACATTAGCAGATGAGAAAGATGATCTTCCTAATAGTAGTACATCATTTCTCTTTGATAAAATACCCAAACAGGAAGAGAAACTCCTTCCTGAACTTTCTAGCAATCACATTATTTCGAATATTCAGGACACACAAGTGCATCTTGGTGTTAGTGATGATCTTGGCTTGCTTGCTCACATGACTGGTAGTGTAGACTTAACTTGTGCAAGTATAATAGAAGAAAAAGAGTTCAAAATCCATACAACTTCAGATGGAATGAGCAGTATTTCTGAAAGAGACTTATCATCTAAAGGGTTAGAGTATGCTGAAATGACTGCTACAACTCTGGAAACTGAATCTTCTGGTAGTAAAATTGTACCAAGTATTGATGCTGGAAGTATAGTTTCAGATACTGAGAGATCTGATGATGGCAAAGAATCAGGAAAAGAGATCCGAAAAATTCAGACCACTACTACAACACAAGTAAGTTACCTAACATGACTTCTAAAAATGCATTAAATAGATGTTGCATTGTTAGCATTAAAGCAGAGTAATTTATTACCAGTTATACTATGCTTATATTTAATTATGGTAAAATAGCATTTTATAGAATTGAATAGTATGGTAGTACATATTAAAGAAATTTAAAATAGCTGAATTATATTTCCAATTATGTGTAACTTTGCTCAATCTTTCTGGGCCTGAACTTGCTTATATTGTACAACAGATTGTACTAGATGAAAATATGGCTATTAGGGGCTCACCCAGTTCTAACATTTTATGACTCTGTGGCTACATGTACACATTTTGTACTCAATATCTTTGCTCTGAATACTTAATTAAAAATTTTTTGTTGTCGTTGTTGAAAGTATTACAAATGTCCCCTTCACCCACCCATTGGCCCCCTCCCCCTGCTCCCACCCCTTCCCCAGCACCAGCCCCAAGCTTTCCCGGCACTATTATCTGACAATGGGCTTTGCATATAAGTTCATTGGTAAATCTCTTCCCACACCCTCCACCCCACCACTCCTTCCCTCCGAAATACATCAGTCTGTTGTATGCTTCAATGTCTCTCTATCTTTTTTGTTCATCAGATTTTTTTCATTAGATTTCATATGTAAGTGAGATCATATGATACTTGTCTTTCTCTGACTGGCTTATTTTGCTTAGCTTAATACTCCAGATCCCTCCATGCTGTATCAAAGGGTAAGAGATCCTTTTTGACAGCTGCATAATATTTCATTGTGTAAACATGCTACAGTTTTTTAATCCATTCATCTATTAATTGGCACTTGGGCTGTTTCCAAGCTATTTTACATAATGCTGCTATGAACATAGATGTGCATATATTGTTTCTGAAGGGTGTTCCTGGCTTCTTGGGATATATTCCCAGAAGTGGGATCCCTGAGTCAAGTGGCATTTCCATTTATTATTTTTTGAGGGAGCTCCACACTGTTTTCCATATTGGTTGTACCAGTCTGCATTACCACCAGGAGTGTGCTAGGGTTCCTTTTTCTCCACATCCTTGCCAGGAAAATGGACACATTCCTAGAAAAATACAATCTTCCAAAACTGAAACAGGAAAAAGCAGAAAACCTGCATAGGCCAATAACAACTGATGAAACCATTATCCTTAAGAAGCAAGACAGGGTTGTCCACTTTCACCACTTTTATTCAACACTAGAGGCCCGGTGCACAAAATTCATGCAGGGGGCGGGGGTGTGTGCCTCAGCCGGGCCTGCACCATCTCCAATCCGGGACCCCTCAGGGGATGTTCAACTGCCGGTTTAGGCCCGATCCCTAAACCGGCAGTCGGACATCCCTCTCACAATCCAGGACTGCTGGCTCCTAACCACTCACCTGCTTGCCTTCCTGATCACCCCTAACCACTCTGCCTGCATACCTGATCACCCTGAACCTCCTCTGCCTGCCTGCCTGATGCCCCTAACTGCTCCCCTGTCAGCCTGAGCACCCCTCACCACTCTACCCTGCCGGCCTGATCACCCCTAACTGCTCTGCCTGCTTGCCTGATAGCCCCTAACCGCCTCTGCCTCGGCTCCCACCACCGTGGCTTTGTACAGAAGGACATCTGAAAGACATCTGGTCTATCTGGTCTAATTAGCATATTACCTTTTTATTAGTATAGATAGCACCAGAAGTCCTAGTCACAACGATCAGACAAGAAGACAAAAGGTATCCAAATTGGAAAGGAGGAATTAGAACTGTCATTATTTGCAGATGACATGATATTTTATATAGAAATCCATAAAGACTCCACCAAAAAACTACTAGATTTAATAAATGAATTCAGCAATGTAGCAGGATACAAAATTAACACCCAGAAATGGATGGCAATTTTATCCACCAGTAATGAATTCTCATAAAGAGAAACTAAAAAAAAATCCCATTTACCTTGCAGCAAAAAAATTAAGATACTTAGGAATAAACTTAACCAAATAGGTAAAAGACCTGTACTCATAATTAATTTTAACCTTTTAAGCTTCAGTCCCAAACCTGTTCTGTGGATTATAGAAAAGAGGACTTGGAGCCCAGATTGAACAGATAGATGAAATGAAGGGGAAAGTAAAGAGGATATGATATTTATCAAGTGCCTGCTATGTTCCAGGCACTGTGATATATGTTTTCTGATTTAATCCTTACAGCAACCCTGTGAGGTAGGTAATATGGCTGAGGAAATTTGCAGTTATTAGCAGTGAGAATTTTTTTTACAACCACGTGGATAGGAATTTATTATGAGAAAATTAAAGGCCTGGTGGTGAGGAAATGTTAGTGCTGCAGTTTGGGCCTCACCAGAGTAAACTAAAAAAATGGATCCTTTTTTCTGATGTGGATTTTAACTGTTGATCTTTGAGGTTTAAGTTTACTTCCTTATTTTCTAGGCTAACTAATGCCTAGAATTAAGAGTTGAAAAAAACTTTTACCTTTTATGATTTGTTTTGTTGCTGTTCTCTGAGTTTTACACTCACTGTAAATTTAACATGTTCTATTATAAAGAGTAAACCATATACCTAACTAGTGCCCTTGTACTCTAATAAGATTCCTTAATAATAGATTCTTTGTGGGGGAAAAGTATTTTTATTTTTGTCTCTGTTAACTACCAATTCCCACTTTTGTGGCAGTTTTACTACAGTGATAATTGTCAGGGTATGGGAATATTGAATTAGGTAGAGATTTAAAATAAAGGACAGCATGATGCATTGTTTATTGAACATAATAATCATTAGGTTTGTCTGGTTTTCATTCAGAGTGCATAGGCATTTTCTGGTTTTTCATTTTATCAAATGCATTTGCTTTTTCTAAATTGAAGTATTATGAGCAAAATAGACTTGAAGTTAACTTGAATCTGTTCAATTAATATTTTTTTTAATCTTGTGTTTTTAACTACAATTAGTTGATGACATATATCCAGTATACTTCACTTTTCATAAGGAAGAAATATAGGCAACTGTAAAGCCTCCAAAATCAGGGGTAAAGAGGGTCTGGTTTTAAGTATGAACATTGTTATTAAACTTAGGCATTTGATTTTTTCCTTAGTTTGTGAAACTGCAAAATAAAAATAGTAGTAGTAGCCCTCAGCTCTAAAAGGTTCCTGATCAGGGAATTACCAGGTGAAATATATATATACATACACACACACTAGCCTACTTAAGTCATAAGCAAAAGCTTTACTCACACACTTACTTTACTATACTTATTGTTTTCATTTTGAAATCAAGAATTTCTTTTGCAGTCTACAAATGTTCACCTTTTATTTCTCTAGGCTGTTCAGGGTCGGTCTCTTACACAACAGGACAGAGATCTCCGAGTTGATTTAGGATTTCGAGGAATGCCAATGACTGAGGAACAGCGGCGTCAGTTCAGCCCAGGTCCACGCACTACAATGTTTCGTATTCCTGAGTTTAAGTGGTCTCCAATGCACCAACGACTTCTCACCGATTTACTATTTGCTTTAGAAACAGATGTACATGTTTGGAGAAGGTAGAAATATTTTTTTTCTAGAAATAAAACTACTTTCATTTAAGAAATGTCTACCTTTTTATCTTTTACTCTTAAAATTAATACCACATACTAAATGTATTCTTGTTAATGAGCTTATGATATATGCATTGTTAAAATAAAATTTTAAATAATTTTATGATACCTATTTTTAGAGACTATATCAGTTCAAATATAATCACTTAATGAAAACCAAGTGTGCATAAACTAAATCATTTCCTTTCCTCACTTTTGATTTAATTTTTAATAGCAAGTGTACAACAAATTGATTATGAGAGTGTATCATTTATATATGCAAGCATATAAATTAGGAAATTGATGGTACTCTGTAGCAGATTAGGCCACTATCACAAGTATCAGTGGCACAGTATTCTAAAGACTCAAATAGGGCTCCTCTGCTTCTCCTGATTTTTCTTCTAAGATTCAAGGTGGTTGCTTCAGCTCCCAGGATTGAATCAGTGTAGGAAACGTGCTCAAACTAGATGGTATGGAGGACTCGTCTTCTTCCTCCTTCATATCCTTCATTCCTCCTCTTCCTTTTTTCCTTCTCCATTCCTCTTCATTTCTTTCCTTTTTTCTCCTCTTTCTCCTCTTCTCTTCTCTTCTTTGCTTTCTTTCTTTCTTTCTTTCTTTCTTTCTTTCTTTCTTTCTTTCTTTCTTTCTTTCTTTCTTTTATGTTTTGTTTTAATTGAAGCCACTCAAGAAATTTCCCCCTTATATCTCACATGCTAGATTATAGGCTTTCCTTCCTTCCTTCCTTCCTTCATTCCTTTCTTCCTTCCTTTCTTTCTTTCTTTCTTTCTTTCTTTCTTTCTTTCTTTCTTTCTTTCTTTCTTCTTTTATGTTTTGTTTTAATTGAAGCCACTCAAGAAATTTCCCCCTTATATCTCACATGCTAGCAGGATTATAGGCTCTTCTCAAAGATAATCACCAGCAAAAGGGAATCCTATATAATAAAACCCTAATATGCAAATCAACCAAACAGTGGAATGACCAGCGCTCAGGGATAGTGCTGCTCAGCCAGAAGCCTGGCTCATGGCTGGCAAGCACAGCAGTAGTGGTGGAGCCTGTCCGGCCTCCACTGCAGGCAGGCAATAAGGAACGAGGGGTCCCAGACTGCTAGAGCCCCAGACTATGAGAGGGATGTCTGACTGCTGGCTTAGGTGGACTTCCCCCAAGGGGTTCCAGACTGCAAGAGGGTGCAGGCCACGCTGGGGGACCCCCCAGTGCAAGAATTTCATGCACCGAGCCTCTAGTGGAATTATGACTGATCTATACAGAGCAATATTGGTCAGTAACCTAGTAGCTGGGGTGAGGCCAACCTTTCCTATACCCGATCTAGTTCAATAATAGAACAAAATCTTGATTGTCTTATTATGGAAAAGGAATATGGAAATAATCAGGTCTGCCACATAATATTTTACTTCTGATGTTATTTTATTAGTTTTTCCTTAGTCTGCTGATGTATAGAAACAAAGGTATTTTCATTGCTAGTGTTGTTACATGCTAAATTACCTACAGATGATAAAGAAGGAACCTAGAATACTATGAAAGACATTAAGGTTAACATGAATATCAATGTATGAAAATTATGTGATTTTCTAATTATAGTATTAGTGACTTCTAAGTGAGTGATAGTCAGTTTTCTTTCCTTTAACATATTGTGTATCTTTGTTTCCTCTCAAGGGCTCTCAAAAAATTTCCGAAACAGAATTCTATAAAATTAAAAAAATTTTAAAGACAGAACTTATATTTAGGACAGGGGGAAACATCTTGAGATCTAAGATATAATATACTAGAGGCCCGATGCACGAAATTCGTGCAAGAGTAGGCCTTCCTTTCCCCGGCTGCTGGCATCAGCTTCCCTCTGGCACCCGGGACCCTGGCTTCCCTCACAACCCTGGCTTCATTCGGAAGGTTGTCCAGAAGGATGTCCAGTTTAATTGGCATATTACACTTTTATTATTATAGATGATATTGTTCAGTTCTAAAAGTTGAGAATCATTGACTTAAATTTGATCGTGAAGTAGTTTCTTCCTTTCCCCCATTAGAATATAGTTCATATTCTTGACTATCGCCAAACTAAAGCAGTGTATTTCTCTGAATATCTACATTGCATGTTTTGTATGGGGAAGCTCTACTGCCAACCTTTGAGGTCTTTTCTCTTTTTATTCAGTAAGTCCTTGAATTTTTGCTGATTTATTTATATTCTCCTACTACATCACTTCTGAGATTAGCAATATATGTTTTCAGTATGGCTGGTCAGAGGTAGGGGGCTGGAGTCTGGTGATGCAACGAATTGAAACTGCATAAAAGGTAGCATAACATTGTTAACTAGCCAGTTGTTCTGCCTTTTAATACAAAATGAATAACTTTGGCAAAAATAAATATTTTCACCCAAATTCATTGAGATAGTCATATACTTTTGAATATATTTCTTGGGAAACAAAATGCTAGATTAATACACACACATAATAACCGTGTAAAGGTGCTAAATTTTTGGTAATATAAAATCTCAATTTTAAATTATATTATTTTCTGAGAACTCCATTTTATATTGCCTAGCTCTTCATTATTTGTCACTTAAAAATGTTATTATAAACTGTCTGCATTTCTTATTAAGCCAAGGAATTGTTAATTTGCATTTTGTTTTTCTGCTATTTTAGCCATTCCACAAAGTCTGTAATGGATTTTGTCAATAGCAATGAAAACATTATTTTTGTACATAACACAATTCACCTCATTTCCCAAATGGTAGACAACATCATCATTGCTTGTGGAGGAATTTTACCTTTGCTCTCTGCTGCTACATCACCAAGTGTAAGTACTTTGCCTCCATCTAGTGGTTATATTGTCTAGAGCACCTTAGTGGTGTTCCATACTGTACACAGGTTTATAAGGCCCGGGACTCATAAAAAAAGGTATCCCAAAACTTAGGCTCTAAGTTTATAGATGGATTTTAACAAAACATGTTCATCTAAGGGAACTTTTAACTATATGAAGTTATATTTATCCATTCATATTAATGTTTATTTGTCAATTTTGGGTTCCAGCTATGTGCATTTATGAAAATATTTCTCTGGTGATTAAAATAAATACTTCTTAGAAATAGTCATAACTAGAAATTATTAACTTTATTTTGTGTATGTTGTTTATCCCTTCAAATATAATATAATACACTGTTAAAAACTTTGTCCTGTAAATCTTGATGTTCTAAATAAAAGTATATACTTAGTCATGAATATAAATTTAGAAAAAAATCATCATTATAAATGCAATCTCATGTAATTTATTTGACATATTATTTCTAAACTTAATATTATTCTATCTATGATGTTTATCTTCCTGCTATCTGAGATTTGAATTTGTTTCAAAGAGAACCAAATTAATGATTTCTAAGAGTGTTTCTTATTTAAAACTTAGGCACCTAGATAGAAAAATTACAAAACATGCTATTTTTATACTATCTTAAAAATTTCACAATCATTGAAATCCTCAGAAATCTTTATGTTACTCACATGGCCTTTAATAGCATTTTTATCTGACTTTATTTGCTGGTTCAACGTTTATTAAAAAAATAGTTTTGTCTCTATATAAAACATTGGAATGTATTAATATAATAAGGTTGAAAGTCAATCAGTGTTAATTATGTTATATATAACATAGTAGGTAAGTGCTAACTTTATATTTTAGTTATCACTTTAAAAAATATCTCTGATCCATATAAAAAAATCATGACACCATAGCTATGTACTGAAATGAGAAAGAATAGAGAACTATGCTTCCCATATTACCTGTGTTCTTGCTGCCATATTGGAAACTAAGCCCAAGAAGTATACTTTTTCCCAAAGAGAGACCTGTTTTGTTAAGATGTCTTTTACTAGCCCTGGCCAGGTATCTCGGTTGATTAGAGCATCATCCCCTGTACATCAAGGTTGTGGGTTTGATCCCTGGTCAGGGCCCATACAAGTATCGACCAATGCAGTTGTAAATAAGTGGAACAAGAAATCATTATTTCTCTTTCTATATATATATATGTCTCCCCCCCGCCTCAAATCAATAAAGAAATTTTTTAAAAAGAGGGTGATTTACTTTCTTTTTTTTTTTAAGATGCCTTTTACTTGCTAAGGCAGTGTTTCTAAATTGATCTCTGGTTTTATTTCATCATTAACACACTTTTTCTACATGACTCTTTTGCTCACTACACTGTTGTCATTACTACCACTCCCAAAGAAACCTTGAAACTTAATATTAGCAGCAAAAGATTGTACTTTCAAATCCCCATTCTCTCACAGGTACATATACTTCAATTTCATCCATGAATTTATTCAAGAAGTCTAGAAAACATGCAGGCTAGTTCAGGCAGGTATGCAGCAGAACATATCATCATTAGGACTTCAATGGAATTAGTAGCTAACCAAGGAAATAGAGCCAGGAAAAAAAAAATTGTTGAGTGCAGGTATCCTGTGAGATTAATATACTATCCCTTCTTTTAATCTGATTCTCTCTGGAGATACATATCAAATACCAGTAAATTGACAATTGTGTATGATTTTAAAAAAGCATTATAATACTGAGGCAGGGAGAATTGTTTTTCTCTTGTCTTTTATATCCTAAAAACTGAATAAATCAATGTTTTCCTTCTGGCATTTTCATCATATAAATTTTGTTTTATGTCTTGTAAATTATCATTTATTGTCAAGAAATTTTAGAAGTTTGTATTGAAATTCATTTTTAAATATATCATTTTAAAGTTTCTGCAGAACAAAAAATTGGCTTTATATAAAGTTAACAGTTGGTGCTAAAATTTTCATAGGTTTCATATATTCACATTACTAAATACCCTTCCAGATTTTAAAGCTAAAAGATCTCTATCAAGATAGGGAAATATTAAATTAATGAAGTATGTTACTGATAAATATTATAATATTTCACTACCCAAATTTGCTTATTTTTATTTTATAATGAATGTATAGTAAAGATACTGACATTTTGAGGTTTGATTTTCAAAAATATTACCTGTGCAATTTTGACTAGTATAGTTTGAATTTGAAATTACTTAAAGCCTAAACGGTTTTCAAAAGACTTGGAAATCCATTCATTAGTAGAAACTTTTCTTCTTTGTCTCTCTATATTTTTGTTATTTTGATTTATTAACTGATTTTACCTATGCCTAATTATATACTAATTTTATGTTCTTTGAATAAATTGTGTCACTTAAAAGAAACAGCTAGAACCATTTCTCCCACTTGATACTAGTGGAACGGTATTTGGTGCTGACTGCTGACTATTGTTTTCTCTTCCTTGACTATATAATATTCTTGCTAAAAATTGTAATGTAATAGAGGGGGAAAGTTAGAAAGGAGGAGATTGAATAAAGAAGGAGTTAGAACCAAAATATGGAGCTTTTTAACTTAGTTTTAAAATGTAAAAAGCCAAGGGACATATTTGGAAGGAATAAGTGAAAAAGGAATCATTGACAACATCAGATTACCAAAGAGAAACATTGTCATATAGATGCCATTAGAATTTTAAAACAGAAATAAGAAATATTTGAAACTAATGCTTGAGTGATCTGATAACTTTGTCTAGGTTTGTGGAGTTTTTAAAAAATATTCATGCATTCTATGTGGGGATATGCATATAATGAAAAGTTATGAGAAATGATGATATGGCAGTGGTTCGCAAACTTTTTCTATATGGATCAGATAGTAAATATTTTCAGTTTTGTGGGCTGTACGGTCTCTGTCCCATGTACTCAACTATTCTTTTGCAGCCACAGACAGTTACATAAAGGATTTGGATATATGTGTGTCTCAATATAACTTTATTTATAAAAACAGCCAGTGGGGCAGATTTGACTTGTGGGTTATAGTTTGCATCATTTCTTCAGGTAAATACAAATATCATAATAAATGTTTTGGTGTGAAATTTATTACTTATTACAAATTTAGTGTGAAATTTTAATAGAGCTTACCATTTATTACAGGTTATTTTTTAAAAGCAATTTTCAGAATATTACAGGCATTATATTCTACTAGGAGAGATGTAACTTTTCTCAGCCATGCTACTTTTCTTTAGCATTTGACATGTCTAATGTTGAGATTGTATTTAATTAGGAGAGTGTAATTAGAATGCTAAGTATTCTGCATAGTTATCTATTTTTAAAAATGACTCAAAGCTCAGCACAAGAATATGTCTTTCCCATATAATTTACTTCTTATTATAAAAAACAAACTTGTTTCCTGTTATCAGTAAGACTCAGACATGATCTTTTGACGTTATGGTTTAATATAAGGTATATGAGTTTTAACATAAGATAAACTTGGGTTCTACCACTTCCTGGATATGACCTTAACTGCAACTTCGTCATTTATTGAAAGGTGTTCATTTTACTGATCCCATAGGGAGTTTGTTGAAAATTGTTATATATATATATATATATATGTATGTTAAGTGCTCTAGAGAAGCTCTTATTGAATGTTTCCTTCATTTAGTTCCTTTTGGAACTATTCAGAATTTTATCATAATAGAATAATCTCCTCATTTATAAACTAAAGCTGTCATACTTAAAATTCTGAAGTTTGAAAGAGGATATTTGAGACAGTTTTAGTTATTATGAGTTTTGATGGCAAAATACTAAACCGATATAATTTTTTTGCCTGTTGTTTCCATAAGATTGGCATAGTGCTTGTCTATTTTCTGCCCTGGGACCTTATATGAATACAACAATCCATACTAAGGATAACATTTGTGTATTGCAGTTGCAGTATCGTCATGTACGAAAATTTGAGCTGTTTATATTCATCTTTCTTATAAGAAATTATCTTAATGAAAACTTCAAGGAAAAAAGAGTATAGTGATAGAATATTTATATCATAGTGAACACCTTGAGCTTAATATCCGTGGAAGAATAGGAGTTTATTGGAATTTCAATTTTGCCTATATCATTTAAAATCATATGTGGCATAGAAAATAAATTACAAAAATAATTTCAAGTCTTTAATTAGGACCTATTGTTTTAACTTTAGACCTCTTAGTATGTATTTCAACCAATCTTTGTTTTCAGAAAGGAACATTATTTTTGCTGATTTTTTTGGAGTTAATGTTTTCATGATTAGCTATTTGAATCAAACTCTTTTTACTAATATTTTCTACAAATTGTGCAAGTTTGTCATAACTGAAAGCAAGAAATAGGAAAAAATGAAGAAAAGCAAGGAACATGTATCATCTACAAATTGCAAAATGACTTTGTGATTTCAGATTGACCATTTTGGTCAGTCATCCATAACACTGAATGCATAGAACTTAATTCAGTGTCATCTACGGTTTATTTTCTCTGTTATAGAAAAATAATTGAGACTGATATTTCTGGCTTTCCTAATAGTTTCAAAGTCATAAGAAAGAAGAACAACTTTTTCTCTTTAAAAATGATGACAAAATCTTACTATTGGTAATGTTTTTTTTACCATTATCAGAATATTTAGTTAATAGATTTAAAATTATTTTTTGTTTTATCTCATAACACTGATTATACTTTAGTATTGTCAGGAAGATTTTGTATGTTTTCCTATACCATGTACCACTTAAATAGTGTGTTTTGAAATTTATGCTCACATATATTTGATCAGAGAATAGGAACCATTGATGACTTTTACTGTAAACAATTCTATCCAAAATTTTCAATATATTAAAAATAATTCTTACAAAATTCTGAAACTGACTAAAATATATATGTATTTAGGTTAGTTCATATGCAGACTCTAATTAGTACCAGGTATATCAATAAATTCTTTTCTAGCAAGGGAAAGTGGTCTTTAAGTTATAAACACTCAAATATTTTACCTTTATTAACTTCTGGGGGATTTGATGTATAGGCAGGGCTCCAAATTATAACATAATTTTTAAAGAAAAATTCTAGAAGTATGGTATAAATAGTTTATTTTCCTAAGTCATTTCTGCCTAAACAAATACTGGCTTTTACAGAAACATTATTCTAGTTTACTTAGTAAATATTTCTTTAGCCATCTGCTAGAAAAAGATACTTAATTTACAAAATAGGATATGCATAATTTCTAATACATAACTTATGTTTATATACATGTTATTTGGGCAGAGTTATTCTAATGAAAAAAATAAACAAATCTAAATATTTGATTTCAATCATTATAATTTATAAAATGAATACCTCTTCTGATATTTTTGCTTTTAATACAATACTCAAATATAATTCTTAAATATATTATTTAGTGTTTCAATTTTATATTGTACTTTTATTTAATTTTAATAATTTTCTTTTCTTGTACTTTTTTGGTCTGTTGTCTGTTTTGTCTAATGCATGTCCAGGGTTCTAAGGTTAGTATTAACTTCAGTAATTTTCAGGTGTTTCGTTTTAAATTTTATTTTTACTTATTTATGAATTTTTTGACTTGGTTATATTTTGAGTTTCCATACCATTTTAACATTAGGCATGCCTTCAGCATATTTAAAAAATTCACTGAATATTCTTAGTTTATTGATGAATTACTATTTTATTATACAATATAGTATCGTAATGTAATGAAAACAATGTTTCAGTCATATGTACAATCAGATGTTAGATGGTTCCAATGAAAGGAAATTTGATGGAATGTATTATTTTAAGATTAATAGTAGTCATATGTGAATACTCTTTATTTTTAAACCTGATATGATTTTTATATAACATTTCATTAAAATTGTAAATTATTTTTATGTGTAATGTAATAAGAACTCCCTTTTAAGTTACGGTTTGTGTTAAAATGAGTACTTTTTATTTAAAAATGTGTTTAGTCAAAGATACAATTTGGCAAATTATATGGAAGTTAATAATTTTGTTTACAATTTCTATTTATAATTCACTCATTTAAAAATGAAAGCCCTAGCAGTTTGGCTCAGTGAATGGAGCATCAGCTGAAGTGTACTGAAGTGTCTCAGGTTTGATTCCAGTCAAGGGCACGTGCCTCGGTTGCAGGTTCAATCCTGGGCCTCAGGTCGGGGTGCTTGTGGGAAGCAACCAATCAATGTGTCCCTCTCACATTATTGTTTCTCCAACTCTCTCCCTTCCTTCCATTCTCTAAAAATTAATGGAAAAATATCCTTGGGTGAGGATTAACAAAAAATAAAAATGTAAAAATGAAAGCATATTTTGAAGGTTAAGTCTTATAGACCCCAAAAGATTCAAAACTATGATATTGACTAACAAAGTGAGTTAGACTTCTAATAATTTCAGAAATTAAGAATGATGATGAACTTATTTGAGAACATATCTATAGATATCCTAAAATTCTAATATCTTGGGCCCTGGCTAGGTTGCTCAGTTGGTTAGAGCTTTGTTCCAATACACCAAGGTTTTGGGTTCAATCCCTGTTCAGGACACATGCAAGAATCAGCCAGTGAGCCCTAGCTGGTTTGTCTCAGTGGATAGAGCATCAGCCTGTGGACTGGAGGGTCCTAGGTTCGATTTCGATCAAGGGCACATGGCTGGGTTGCAGGCTCGATCCCTGGTAGGGGGTGTACAAGAAGAGGCAGCTGATCAGTGATTCTCTCTCATCATTGATATTTCTCTCTTCCCCTCTCCCGTCCTCTCTGAAATCAATAAAAATATTTTTTTAAAAAAGAATCAACCAATGAATGCATAAATAATTGGAACAACAAATTGATGTTTCTCAAAAAATCAGTAAATACAAAATAAAATTTTAATATCTTGAAAAATTATTTTGAATGTTTAAAACATCTAAGCATTGACCAGATCTTCCATTCTATTATAAAATTATGTTGATAACTGTGATTTAGAAGGGATATATATATATATATATATATATATCAACCCTTTGACCAGTAGCTATGACATGTACTGACCACCAGGGTGCAGATGCTCAACGCACAGGCATGGAAACATGGAATAGACTGATGAATCTCAGAGGGGAGGGAGGAGGGCGGGAAGAGATTAGCCAAAGATTTTATATGCATACTAGAGGTAGAGGCCCGGGGCATGCATTCGTGCACCGGTGGGGTCCTCGGCCTGGCCTGCAGGGATTGGGCTGAAACCGGCAGTCTGACATCCCCCGAGGGGTCCCGGATTGCGAGAGGGAACAGTCCAGGCCGAGGGACCCCACTGGTTCACGGATCCGTGCACTGGGCCTCTAGTTTTATGTAAAATGAAAGTCTTTGCTTTTTATGTAATCTATTGGTGTTGTGGTCACAGATTTTTAATACATGCTATAACATGATACTGAATATCAATGAAGTGCTAGGAAATAAAGAATTTAAATTTTGAAAATCCAATTATTTCTTTAATCCATAGATACTAAATTGGCATAATGTTGTAAATCAACATTAAAAACAAATTTTTGAATGTTTTCAAGCTCATTTTAGAAAGACTGATTTTGCCACTATTTTGTTGTTAAGTGGAAGGAAGAAAGGTTGTTTATTCTCCATTTAGAATCAAGTTATATAGTACTTGCAGTAGTCACCTATCATTTTTAATACCCATCTTGTATACAAGAAGTTTTTAAAAGTTGCCTTTAAAAAAATCATTATTTTCTGATGACATTTCCATGTTAATATGAGCAAGAATATGTTTAAGTGGAATGATGGATATAAGAAATGTCAAAATGAAACAATAAATTGGAGCATGTACCTATAATATATACTTACCTTGTAGTTTAATTTATCATTTGAAGAACTAAACTTAATCAATATGGCTAGTATGTCTATTTTCAGAAAATTTAAAGAGTAATATTTTTATTTATAAAGCATTCCTTACTTTACCCTGCTCTTTGAGACATTGAGAAAATGAGGCCTAGTCAATGAGGCCTAGTCATAATGAACCAAAATGTTATGTGATAAACAATGAAAAGTAAAATAAGAAATGTTGCTATTGCTTATAAAATCCAGTTATTCATCTTAAGAAACAGAATACTTTGTAACATTTCCCTTGAAAGCAGGAAGTTACACTTTATTATAGACAATATTTAGTGAAAGTGTAGTTTCTACTGATTCTTCTTATTACCAGTGTTTGTAGAAGGAGTAATGATCTTCTTGATTATTTTTACCTTAGATTTTTACTGTATATTTGAGATACCTAGTGGTTTTACTCTGTTCTGAAATGGATAAGAAATTGTTATACATTCTAATTTGACAGTTGTCTCATTTTGATGCCAAGCTAGAGTGACATATATTTTCCCTTGTAGTCATCATACATTTACCAGAAAGGAAAAGTAACACATTTTTTTTATATAAACAAGAGAGAGGAATTTAGGAAAGAAATATTTTTAAAAAGTAGTATAAATATATGTGCTATTATTTCCAAATACCTTTGCAAAATGATCTTCAGTTTGGAAGGTAGTTTTTATAAATAATGACATTTAAATCTAACATTGATTTTAAAAATAGACTTTTCCTTTATTCAAGGACAATTCATAGGTAACTAAATAAATTCAATAACCAGCTCTTATGATATATTAGATTATAATTTGCAATCTATAATTTATTTTGTTTACAAAATATACTAAACTACTCTTCACTTGTAATATGTATGTACATGTATTATACTTCTAAATTTTAACATGTCTTAAATCTTCTTTCTTAAAGACGGAACTGGAAAACATTGAAGTGACACAAGGCATGTCAGCTGAGACAGCAGTAACTTTCCTCAGCCGATTGATGGCTATGGTTGATGTACTTGTATTTGCCAGCTCTCTAAATTTTAGTGAGATTGAAGCTGAAAAAAACATGTCTTCTGGAGGTTTAATGCGACAATGCCTAAGGCTAGGTAAGTCTTAAGAATAAAGGCGTCTATTATATAATTACCTAATTACCTACAGAGTACTTATTTGACATTCTGTGGTATATAAAGTATTGATGATACAAGTTGATGATTATGTAATGTAGAAATTATTATAATTATAGAAAATTATATCTTCACATTGAAGATTTATAGAATTCATCATCTTGAATGGATTATAATTTTAAATAGAATTAAATGTATTTTGCATTATTTAAAATTTAATAGGACTAACATTTTTCATTGAAGTCATTTTAATGTATATTAATTTATTAATTCTTTTCTAATGGTAGACTAATAGAGGGTAGTTGCTCTAGGATCACACACATATCAGAAAAATCAGGACATAGTTTTATACACAAAATGCTGAAGAAGAAATTGACTATGCCAGTCTCACTGTGTCTCTCAGAGTTAACTGTTAACTCTAATAAACATTACTGTACCCACGCAGTTCACCTTCTATCTTGTGTTTCAAAGAAACTAAGCACTAATATAATACATCAACTACAATTGAAAAATAAAAATATTAAAAAATCTATAGATATTTGGAGAATGAAAAATAAAACAAAACAGGATGCCATATGGCTACTTCCAAATATTTTTTTAAAAAGAGAGAAAAGAAAACTTAATACTGACAACTCTTAATAAATTTAGACCAGCACGAAGCAGGAACCATCCTTACCTCTCTTACCTGTCTTAAAGGGGAAATTTATTTATATTATTTAGACTTTACAAAGAACCAGAAAGCTACTATTTATATACTTGCCTTAGAGCATGAGTAAGATGTAAGAAACCAAGACATTAGATAGGGAGGAAATTCCTGATGTTTACTCTTTTTATCCATAATTTAAAAAAAAAAAAAAACCTTTGTAAAAAGTTACAGGTGTATAATTTCAGGGAAGAAGTTTCTGACCTAAGAAAAGCATTAGAGCTGCTTTAAGAGTGATATGTTAATTAACATGATTGCGATTCTCATTTCACAATGTATTTATATGTCAAGTATCATGCTATACTTGACATATTCTATATTAGAAAAGCCTAATATGCTAAGTGTCCAGTTGATTAGTCAGCCATTCAACCAATCAAAGCATAATATGCTAATAATATGCTAAGGCCACTCAAACATTCACTATAACATGCACTGACCACCAGGGGCAGATAGTCAGCCAGTCAACAACAGCTATGACATGCACTGACCACCAGGGGGCAGATGCTCCAACCGGTAGGTTAACTTGCACCTGGGGTATGGCTGATTGGGACTGAGCGAGATGGGCCGGACACACTCTGGAGCCCTCCTGCAGCCCTTCCTCAGCTGGCCAACCTACCATCAGTTGGACATCCCCCGAGGGCTCCCGGACTGAGAGAGGGCACAGGCTGGGCTAAGGGAAGCCCCCCCGCCCCGACCCCCCAAAGTGCATGAATTTTGTGCACTGGGCCTCTAGTAAATACATAAAAAATTTATAAGTACATGCAAATTTACTTCTCAACTAGAGGCCTGCTGCGCACATTTGTACATGGGTGGAGTCTGTCGGGCCACCCCAATGGGGGCCATTGTGCCAGGCTGGCACGAGGGAGGAGACGTGGGAGGTTGCCTGGCCCCACACTTGATGGTGAAATGGATCAGGGGAGGGGACTGCTGGAGGAGGTTGGCCAGCCAGCCCTGCCCCCAATTAGGGTGGGGGAAGGTCAGAGGCGGGGTGGCTGGGGGGAGGGGCCACAGGTGGTTGGTGTATGTCCCACCCAGTCCAAGACCAGGAACTTCACAGGCACCCTCAGAGCACCAGCGTAGTGCATTCTTTCATGCACTCTCTCAATTTCCTCTGCGAGCTTTAGGGCCGCAGGAGGTGCTGTGCTTCCTGGGGTTTGTAGTGTGCTTCCTCCACAAAGGTCCCTCCTGTAGACTTGGCTCTGAGTTTCCAAGAATTACACCTCCTGGCGTACTCTGCACAAGAGCACCAGACGTTTGCCCAGGTCGGCCTTATCCATCAGCGCAGAGTGGAGGACCCAGGAAGCTGGCAGCTGCAGGAGGAGGAAATGTGCTTGTGCATGGGGCCAGCCTATTCTGTTCGTCCCAATCATTGTAAACAGGTGGAGGCAGGGTTGGGTGAGAATGGTGTATGCAAAGCTGGCCAGGGGTGCAGCACAGCAGGAGGCTTTGGTGGCTGCTGCGGGAGCATGAGCATGAGGAGGCGGTGGCTGCAGCGCGGGTGAGCAGTCATGCAGCGGCGAGCACAGGTTAGTGAGCAGCAGCGGTGGCATGTAGAGGTCGCAGTGTGCTCCCCTCACACGCCCGGGCAGCCCTCTCAGCACTCACCTCATGGTAGTGTCAGGCAGCCTTTAGGGCTGGGCTGGAGTTGGGGTTGGGAGGCATGACTGCCCCTAGTGTGGGTTCTTGCAGGCAGGCTTTACCTCAGTTCTCTCCCTCTTTGCTGTGCATTCCTCCCACTTCCTGGGCAGGCCTCCCTCTTGGCAGCAGCATTTAATTTGGTGCTCTTGAGGTCTGGAGGAGCACAGCCAGGAACCAAGCCCCTACCCCCTGGGGCTCCAGGCCTCAGGGCAACTCTTGGGCACCTTGGAACAGGATAGAAGTGGTGGGGATGACTTGAGGGAGGGGCCGCAAGAGTCTGGGGGGGTAGATTGGGCCCATTGGCTACTGCAGTGCACATCATAGCAACTGGTCACTCCAGTCGTTCTGGTTATTCGGTCACTGGGCTTTTATATCCTATCTAATAAAAGAAAAACATGGTAATTAGCGTATATCCTCTACACTTCCCATTGGCTAATCAGCAAGATATGCAAATTAACTGCCAGCCAAGATGGTGGCCGGGAGCCAGGCGGCTTGAAACTAACATGAGGCTTGCTTGCTTCAGTGATGGAGGAAACCAACGTTCCCCGCCTGCCTTGCCGG